GTTCGAAGGCGGTCCCATGTCCCGGCCGCCCGTTTATGCAGCAGTTTTGGCATGAACGTTTTCAATTTCTACGCCGACTTCATTGCAGCGGTTGGCGGCGTAGGCTTGTCAGGCACATCATCATGTTTGACGTTCAATTTTACGCGATTGGCGCGCTGGTCATGTACACCTACCAACAACAGTTCCGTTCACTATCGACACAAACAATAGCCCGACGGCCCAGCTGTTCCGGCTTGCATCATTCACGTGTGCACGTTTATACTTCTCATGCCATTACATTTTAATGGTTAGTGACAAAGGTTAGATAAGCACACCATCATACTCGCCATTATATTCTACGAAATCGTTTTCGCGATCCTGTGTGCCTCCCACCAATAGTTTGTTCGTTATTTGTACGCAGATTTTCGATGTCCCGCCCGCCCGCAACGTTACTTCCGCTGCTAGCGGCCGTGCCGCATTGAAGTCTCGGGATCAGTGACGTCACCGCCCTGCACAGAGCGCGTGGAAACCCTAGGTGTGGGAAATCCATGCACGACATCCTCCCGATGTAACAGATTCGAGGTTGTGCTCCGGTGCTCGCGCCTGTAGAGGTGCTGCTAAAGCTTGACGTCACCGTTGCACTTGAAGGCCGCACCGCTACGGGCTGGTTGCAGACCGTCGTATTGCTGCCATTTGTGCATCTTTCAACAGGCTTTTGCATAGGTGAAGGAATGTGTCATAAAGTATATATCTATGTTCGAGCTTTGACGGGATCAAGCACGCACCAGATGGTTCCACGTGGGAGGAGAACGTCAAATTTTCTCTGAACTCGAGCTAATTTGGAACGAATTTTTGCTAAATCACCCAGCATCCTGGTGTAAACCTTTTGCCCCGGAAGGGCGGGAGGGGGGCGTGACGCCGTGTCCTTTCTGGGTTAAATCCCTGGTCTGGATGCGTTCTCTATGTGGTTTTAGGCAAGTATTTGTGGCAAATGCAGTGCATCCCCTCTTCTATGGCGTGAAGGGCTTGCATCTTCATCCAGATATGACGTTATATCACGCATGCTTAGATTTTCACAGTCCATTTGAACGTGTGATGACAGCGATATTCAGTTTCCTGTGCGTTGCATGGCAGAACAGGGCGTCAGTTCGAAAAGATATCATTGATTTTCTCGATACAGTACGAACACATGGTAGTACCAACAGGCGCACAATTTTCGTTGATCACTCCGTGTGTCTCTGGAAATCTTGCGGGAGGCCAATTCACCATTGGCGCATCTCAATTTGTCATGGAAGGCATCAATAAATTATAAATCTAACCGCCCTCCAGGCGCCTGGAAGGCACTTGGGCGTCCGAAGAGGCCCCAGCTCAAGTCGGGGAGGTGGCGGCCGCCACGGAGGCACGCCGCCCGCCCTCCTTCTCCGCTCCGAGGCTTCGCCATTGATCAGTTCGGATGCGGCAGAATCCATGTGTACTGTCAGTGGCCTTGCATGTTATGTCATCATATATCTCTTTATGGTTGCCGCCCGTTCGTTTTTAATGTCACGTCAAATATCCCATGCTATTGGCAGATACATCTCTACTGAAGGCTAAGAAGTCTTTGATGGCGACAGAAGAGTTGGGAGACGATGAATATACCCTCGACCACACAAAGCTCATCAGCGCCCCAGCCTTGGGTAAGTGGGCTTACGTACCTTTCACCCCTGCTTGAATTATGTCTTAGATTGGTCATATTGTCTATGTTGTCTCGTTCAGGACGCGCGTATTGTTCTGATGATATTTTGGGCGTCACTAGGAAGCCACTGTGTTCCGTCTCTTGGATTTGGATCATGCCGTGCTCCATAGACACTGCTTCTAAATTAATGTCAGAAGGTGGCTGACGACAATGAATATGCCTCAGACGCGCTACTGCTGGAGTGGGGCCAGAGTCTGCGTCAGGGAGCCTCTGTTTCCTGTCTCTGGTGACGCTGACTGTGTCCCTCAGACGCACTGCTGCTGGAGTGGGGCCAGAGTCCTGCACCAGGGGGCCGCTGCCCCGCCTCTGGTGACGGTGACTGTGCCCCTCAGACGCACTGCTGCTGGAGTGGGGCCAGAGTCTGCACCAGGGGGCCGCTGCCCCGTCTCTGGTGATGCTGACCGTGCTCTTCAGACGCGCTGCTGCTTGAGTGGGGCCAGAGTCTGCATCAGGGGGCCGCTGCCCGCCTCTGGTGACGCTGACCTTGTGCCTCAGACGCACTGCTGCTTAAGTGGGGCCAGAGTCTGCACCAGGGGGCCGCTGCCCCGTCTCTGGTGACGGTGACTGTGCCCCTCAGACGCGCTGCTGCTGGAGTGGGGCCAGAGTCTGCACCAGGGGGCTTCTGCCCCGTCTCTGGTGATGCTGACCGTACTCTTCAGACGCACTGCTGCTGGAGTGGGGCCAGAGTCTGCACCAGGGGGCCGCTGCCCCGCCTTTGGTGACGCTGACCTTGTGCCTCAGACGCACTGCTGCTGGAGTGGGGCCAGAGTCTGCACCAGGGGGCCGCTGCCCCGTCTCTGGTGACGGTGACTGTGCCCCTCAGATGCGCTGCTGCTGGAGTGGGGCCAGAGTCTGCATCAGGCGGGCGCCGCGCCGCCGGACTCCGAGCTCGCCCACTTTGGCGTGTTCGGGGCCCCGGCTACAGGCCACCTGCTGCTCCTCTTCTGTCGTCGGCTCTCGCAGCCCTCGCCGGTCTTCTTCCGCGCGCTGCAGCTGTTCGAACGGTCAGTCGGTGATGGTGGGAGCAGCTGATGATGGACAGTCACTCCATGTTTGTGCACTGCCACGCGCCGACAAAGACAGCCGTGCGCCGAGCTGTTCGGCTTTTGGATAGATTCTTGTGTGCTCGACATTGTCTGTTTTGGCTGCCAGGTGATATAGAGTACGTGAGATCCTGATTGATATAGAGTACGTGAGATCCTGATTGATATAGAGTACGTGAGGTCCCGATTGTTCATGACTTAAGACATAATGGCTCGAGATGTGCTGCTCGTAAATTGCCTTAGACCGGACCACAGCTGCTGCTGCTGCCGCCTGATCCCTTATTTTGTTCGTTTTATATTATCAGATTTATGCAGGCGCACATGATGGAGATGTCCCAGTACATAACCACAAAGGTGGAGCGAGCAAACAGGGATAAGGAGTGGAAGAGCTTGCTGGAGCGAATACACAGTCAGGCCATTCTCAGAATGTTGTCCTGCGTCCAGATCTCTTCAAAACTTTCTCTGCATTACAAGGTGAGCATGTTTACTTGTACAGACGGTTGAAATCTAAGGGGTTTTACGGACAACCTTGGCTGTATTGTGTAGTGCATGGTCGCCTGAGCTCCGAGGGCTGCGCAGTACCTGACGACCAGGGATTGGTTCAGTGTAATCTGATTTCGTAACCTACATTCACTACAGTTACCATCTGCGACCAGGGAATGTAAAAAAAACTTAAGGAGACGACCGATCCGATCAACGGAGCTCTCTTCGCAGATTGTCACGACGAAGCGTGTGAAGGGCCTGCTTCGGGAGGCGAAGCACTGCTACAGCTTGGAGAGCGTAGTTAACTCAGAGGTCAGGGTTCTCAAGACCCTGAAATTTCAGGTATGTAATGCCAATCAATCATCAGCTTGATAGTGCACATTGCGATGGCATAGGCAGCGCGTGTGATGTGCAAAGGTGACACGAATGTTTAGAAGCTCGTTCACCAACGATGCATGTACGAGTAGGACTGAACTACTGGTAGTTTTGAGGAACATGGGATCCGTGTTACCGAAATTGTTAAGGCCTCTCGCTACTTGCATTTCGCAAGCATCGCCCTACATGTCCGCCGTGTAAGCCGCCAGGTTTGACTCGTCTGCGTTCGAGCCTGGCACTTCCACCTCTGCCTACCGATCGCCGGGCTTTCTGGCTACGTAACGCGTCCGTTCGTTCTTCGCCGCCCGTCCGCGGCTCCCGCCCACCTGTCTGACGGCACGCGCCGCCTAGGTAAGCTCGCCGACCTGCCTGGACACGCTGGAGACGCTGCTGGCCGTGGTGACGCGCCGGCGCCCGGACCTGCTGGAGCCGCTGAGTCCGGCACTGCCGTCGGCGGCCGTGCGCCTGCTCCGCTCCGCTTGTGTCCGGCGCTCGGCGCTCTACCTGCGCCTGTACCGGCGCACCACAGGCTGTGCGCAACTGGTGCCGGCGGCGCGCCGCCAGTACGCCGCTGTGCTGGCCGACAGCGTGCTGCTGGCCGCCGCCGTGCTGGCCGCCGCCGCCTTCCTGGTGCGCCGCGACAGCAGCGACGAGCTGGTGGCGCTGCTGGCTGAACTGACGCAGATCCCAGCCGGCGACCTGCTGGAGCTGGCCGAGCTGCTGCTGCGAGATCTGCTGCCTGGCATGGAGACCGACTGAGGGACGCGGGAACGGCTGCTGGTCGCAGGGACCGGCTGCTGGACCCAGAGACCGGCTGCTGTGCCCAGAGACCAGCTAAACGTCACAGGGACCGGCTGCTGGGCGCAGAGACCGGCTGCTGCGCCCAGAGACCGGCTGCTGCGCCCAGAGACCGGCTAAACGTCACAGGGACCGGCTGATGGCATACGGGCCAGCTGGCGAGCCGCGAGACCCGTTGACGGCCACGGGGACCGGATAATGAACGCGGAGCGGACGTATGAACACTGCGACACCCAAATGGGCACAGAAGCGTGCTTATAGGTGCGGGCCTGGTGGACACAGATGAAACGGTCGACACGGGTGTGTGCTATCATGTGTGTGTGTCTCATCAATATTCGGCTACCATCAGTCATTCTGTTTAGAAGTTGTCGGTGATATTAGTGTGAATGGCACACCTTTGCGAGCGCTGTGGTTGCAGATGCGGAGGATAGTTCTGTTGAAGTTAGTTCAGATGAGCAATGCGTTTTCTTCGTAAGTGGCTTTTTACGCCGAGCTTACTTTTGTTGATTAATATATCATCAAGCATATCTGTGTTGTTTTCCAATCCCAGAAAGAGCTCTTAATTTGCGCGCCTGTATGTATTCGCGTTCATGCTGAGCTCGCTCCACCGAGCGTGTATTCGCCGGACATTTACCCGCCATTTACACACCCTGGCCCAGGACGCTTTGCGGCCAGAGCGCTGTTCGTTGGCCGCTGATGGTCGCGCTCGCTGACGGCCGGCCTCCGTGCGCCGCTGTCGTCGGCGTCGGAGGCCCGCCACAGTATCCCACAGCTGGCAGCGCCTGGTCGCTGCCGGGACCCACCGCCGGAACCGAAGCCGTCGGTCCCTAACCGTGACCTGGGCCCGTGCGTGGCGTTACTGACGACGGGCCTCCAGGACCTGCAGCAGCTGGCGGCTGTTCGACGTCGCCTCGCTGGCCAGCTGCTCCGCCTCCTGCAGTGTCTGCTGCCGGAACTGGGCGTCCTCCACGTCATCCAGGTTGATAGCCACGTTGTGGAGGGCTCCCCAGGAGGCCGTCTCCAGACACCGGACCGCCACCTGCGCAAACGCACGGAGAAAGAGGGGGGGGGGCAATGGGTCAGCGGAGGCGCAACTGGGAGCGGTGCCTGAGCATCATCTCAGGAATTTAAATATTTCACACCTTTTCAAGCGTCAGTTTCCGGGGATAAATGACAACATGGACATATTCGACACAAACGACGATTATCCTTAACCTTCTGGCTTACATTTGGACCAGGTCACATTTAGATTGTGTTTTAGAGGTCCTGTGTCGACCGTCCACCCCCTTGCTGACGACAAACGAGTTATGTGTGCCCGGGCCGCACGCGCCTGAGATGCGCCACGGCTCGCCGAGGCTAGGCTATTTACCAACTCGCGTAACGTCCGCGACTACTAGCGACGCCACAGCGGCGGGTACCTGCAGGTCGGACTTGGTGGCGATGTTGCCGAGGGGCGCCAGCTCGGCGAGCGGCTGCCAGAGCTGCTGGATACGGCGCATCAAGCCCAGCGGCACCGCCACGGCCGAGCGCAGGCCCGCCTGCATGGCTGCCGCGCGCGCCGTCGCCTCCTCCGGCGTCGAGCGGGCCAGCTTCAGCGCCGCCTGGCGGATGGCGGCGGAGTTACACCGGCGGGGAGTTGGCCCTGTGAGCGACCGCATCGGTGTCTGGTGCTGAGGAGCCCGTCCACCGCTTAAACCGCCCTCTCAGCCCGTCCGATTCTAAGACCGCCCTCCCAGCCCGTCCGACTCTCAGACCGCGCCCCCCCCCCCCCCCCCCGGGAGGGCGGGGAGGAGGGAGGCACTCGACACCCCGTCGCGGGAAGCGACTGATCAATTTTGATGTGGAAATGAATTCTGTGACTCTAGACGGCGCTCATACAACGGCGACGTGAATCCAGCGCATGCGCGTGATGCGCGATGCTGTGAGGCGAGACACGTGAGGTTCCGATCTATCAAGACTGTACCATGTAGTCGTTGAATGCGGACGTGTCGTCATCGATGGCTGCCACCAGACCATCGACGATGTTGTGGAACACGGGTATCAGCCGGCGCATCTCAGTGTCCAGGTGTTCCCACTGTCTCTTCCCGTACGTCATCCTCCCAACCATGCTCGCCAGGCCTGCCCCCTGTCGGATGGAATATGAAGCAATGACACACAACATGTCGGCAGATGGTGCTGGGGAACGACTTCCACGGCTGCAGAGCGACAGGACCACGAGCATCCAGGCAATCAGGCATAATAGCAAGGCAACTGCAAGCACTTGCGAATGCGCGTTAGACGGAGCGACCCATCGGTCAGCACGCCAGACGGCCTGTTTGGAAGTGACAAACAGTTTGTGCCTCAGAAAGGCCCGTCTGCGACGGGACTAAGACGGATGACCTGGTCGGAATTCGGTACACAAGTACTACGCACACACGCATACATACACACCACGGATGCAAACTAGCATGGAATCTCATCGTCACTCTCGGCTGAAAGGGAGTCGGAGGGTACCAATGACGGGTTCGGACGGCCGGAGCGCGTCATCTTGGGAGCTCGCCGCTCGGGAGCTTGGGAGCACGTCATATTGAGAGTTCGGCGCTCGGGAGCTCGGGAGCACGTCATATGGAGAGTTCGCCGCTCGGGAGCTCGGGAGCACGTCATATTGAGAGTTCGGCGCTCGGGAGCTCGGGAGCACGTCATATGGAGAGTTCGCCGCTCGGGAGCTCGGGGCACGTCACATGGAGAGTTCGGCGCTCGGGAGCTCGGGGCACGTCACATGGAGAGTTCGGCGCTCGGGAGCTCGGGAGCACGGTCATCTCGGGAGTTGGGCGCTTTCTGCCGAGCAGCCGTGCGAACGACGGGAAAATGAGCCGTGTCTGCCCAGCGAGCGACCGATCGGCCGATCCCACACCCCGTCCCACTCCCCCCCCCCCCAACCCGGGCGCAGCTGACGACGGCTCGGTCTGGACCAAAGGTCACCGGTCAGGGAGGCGTCTCCCAGCGTCATTGCCAATGCACAGCCGTGCCGTATGCGAGGAAACTGAGGAGGGGAGGGGTACTGGCAGGGCTACCCGCTCCTGCCAGTACGGATAGCACCGCCTCCTCTCCGCCGCCACATAAACGCTGTGTCGTTTGCGAAGAAACTGGGGAGGGGAGGGGCGCGGGGGCTGCCCGCTCCTGCCAGCACGGATAGTACCGCCTCCTCTCCGCCACCACATCGACGCTGACATGGGAACGTATCACAATACGTATATATATATATATATATATATATATATATATATATATATATATATATATATATATATTGCGTATCACAAAAAAAGACCAGGCAGAAATCCGTGGAGCCTAACCTCTAGGTGCACATCATGCGTGCTGGGGCGGTGATTCTGTGCATATTCAGACTAAACCTGAAATACTGATACCAATTCCGCATACACCTAGCGAGGGAGAAATGTCACTGGCGGTATGTCCAGCTGCTGCCGCCGAACCTGCGGGTACATCTACCAGCTACGCAGCCGATGACCGACCGTGCCATGATCGGCAGCGAAGCACAGCTGTCGCGCCTGCGGAGGTGAGCCAGAGTTCGCTGCGGCCCACAGAGCCCAGCCACGCGAGCAAGGCTGCTGCTGTGTGAACTCTGTCGTCTAACTGCTCACCCTTACTGAGGTTCTAGGTCTGATCCACCAAACACGCGCACGTGTAATGCATTCAAAGCATGCCATGAATGTGGTGTACGAACGCAACATGCATTTATACCATCGGAAACGGACGCTACACTGTAAAGGAACTTAAAGACAGGCTTCTGCCTGTCTTTATAGGCCGAGTATACCCTGCCAAGGCACTTACATCAATCCCCTATAGGAATCAGGCTTCTGCCTGTCTTCATAGGCCAGGCATACCCTGCCAAGGCACTTACATCAATCCCCTGTCGGAATTCACGGATGTGGCGTGGCCCTGCATAAGCCTTCTCTCTCCGAGGAGCGCGACGTGCAGTACTGCCGGCTGGAACCAATTCCAGCGGCGGGACAGCTACATCGGACTCAAACAGCCCTATGCCATCAACGTCCAGTACCACTCATCGAAATCTGGGTTTTAACTCATGTCGTTTACCAGCTTCTGCCAGTCGTGAGTGCTGCATTTGCCCTCTGTTAAAAAACGATGCGTGGCGCAACGAACAAAGAAATATGTTTGGAAGAGTCGCTGTCTTTTATGAAAGGCCATTCGATGCTTTTACGGATCTTTATCATCGATCGTCTCTCCCTCATACATCCAGGTACACAAAAATATTGTCCTCACCTTAACACTATTCATGTTCGCCACAAGTTGGCCTAATCTGACGCGAGTAGGCGTTTTTAGGGGACAGTCACGTGATCTGACAAGTCCTGACATGACCGGACTTGCCAGGACCTAACGTGACCTGACTTGCCAGAACCTGGCATGACCTGACTTGCCAGGACCTGACATGACCTGACTTACCAGGACCTGGCATGAACTGACTTGCCAGGACCTGACGCGACTTGGATCGTTGACATTAAAACCCGGTTTCTGCGTGTGACGTTACCAGAACGTCACAATGTCCGTCACCAAGCCCAAATACTTGCCAGGTCCGTTGATCTGACTTGACGCAGCATTGCTTTAAAAGGCCCGTGCCATCTGGATGCATTGTGGCGGTACCACGGCACGGCAAGGGACCCCAAGGAGTTTATTTATTCGCCCCTGCTTGGGCAGTGAATTGGGCGATTCCAGAAATATTGCGCTACCTATGCTTCTGGAAACGCCTGCCTGAGCCCGTGCCTCTAAGCCCCTACCTAAGCCCCTGCCTGAGCGCACAATACCAACATCGCGTCACACACAACCGCTGCACAGGCACGTGACGACAGTGTGCCAGGCAAGAGGGCCTGTTAGCTGTTGTCGCCATCAGCGCTGATCGTCTCTATGACGCGAGCTCAACTAAGCTCTCAAGCTGCAAGCGAAGCCACGGGCTCAGACATTTGCATATTGATCGTCACCGACGCTGACCCGATGGCCCAGCGCTGACGTAAAGGAATAAGGCCATCGCTGCGCTGGGAAATTCACAATGTTCATTTGCTTGGGTCGTTACTATCGACACCATGTATGAGGCAGAAGCACTCCATGTCGATAAGGCCAGAAGGTCAGTCGGACATTACATGGCGTCACCATCGTAACGAATTGGTGTCGTTCACCACAGCACGTCAAAAGTGTGCAGTGATAGCGACCATCGTTCCGAATCAGTATGTTCCACGCAAGCCGTTCTTACATTTTAGCATTGGACATCTTATATTCAGATGACTGCTTTATCTCCTGTAGTTTTCCTTACTACCGCAGCAAGGTTCTGTGCTGCCTTTCGCCAGTTAGAAAACCATGGCTTTATTAAGGACATATCAGCTGGCTACCCTCAAAACTGGGGCAGTCAAACATGAGGTATGTATGTCACACACGTCCGTGTAGAACACAACGCAATTCACCACACTGGGTGGTGCGGTACACTACGTACTGCATTATCGTACAACTACCGTATGCCGTATCGTGCCGTGCTCGGTACATAAATCTTCACGACGTACCACTGCGGGGACAGGTTACGAGGTGAACCAGAAAGCGAAGGAAACTTTTAAACTAAACTAGTGGAGAGCAGACCACGCGGGCTAGCTCGACCACACAGACCACGCATCAGACAGCAAGAGTGATTGTGATCTGGAAGAGTGCCGGAGACTCAGCTATTATAGACCAACGAGCCGGGATGGGGGAAGCCAGGGTCGCCATACTTCTAACTAGTTCCCCACGGTCATCACTTTCAACAAACCCCACAATACAGTGCGATGTGACGCTGGGCAGCCCCGCGGCTCGGATGGTACCAATCGTCACGGATCAGATCTATGCTGGGTGAGTGGCGGGCGGCGGACTCGAACGCCGGGTGCAGCTGGGACGCACCGCACGTGGATCCGCCGCCGACGCCGTCGATGGGTCCGACAGCTCGGATCCATCAGCCGGCCGTCCATCAGCCATCACGGATGCACGAATCCGTCATCAGGGGCGCATCCATCACCGGTCGCGCTACCCGGCCGCGTTTTCCGAGCCGCTGGTCGTCAAATGAGCCGGTGCGCGCGCTCTCCGACTCGACAAGGAGCGGCACGCCACCTGGCGGCCCGCCTCCAGCGGCGCCGATGTGTGTGCGTGCGTGTGTGTGTGTGTGTGGTGAGAGTGGAAACAAAAACCACCACGTTTGTCAAACTGGTGTTGAGGTGAATGTGATTGTCATGTGGCCCACACTGATAGGCCTCTGCAGGATCCCTGCGATGCTCAGCTCCCTGGCAATTCGAGACACGCCGGACTGGCGCGTATTTGTAAAATACCTCATGTACGCTAACCTAAATGGAGCACCGCCATCTCCGCCAGCACTGCGACGCGTTTAGCTATTGATTACGGATCACAGGCGTCAGTTACAATAAACACACGGCGAGAGCACTGGGATGCGCTGTGTCTCCACGATGTCGACACCGATAGTTGCCACTCTTTTGGTTCAATACCGGTTACGAGCTCTGAGCTCCTGAACAGTCTTCAGTGAGAGGTTTGCGTCATGAGCGGCAATCAGCGATGTCAAAGAAATTATTGATGACACACACAATGACTAAAGGGCGATTAGAAAGCCTGTGGTGACTCGTGACCTTTGTGTCAGCTTCTATTGACAGCCGACAGCGGTGATCGAACCTCGAGCTAACTGTCCAGACCATCGGAGCTACGGGTTCAGGCTCGCCGGCCTCAGACGATTCCTAACTGCGATGTTGACTGCAGTTATCTCTAAGGCGGCTTCCGAGAGCGCCCACTGTTACTGGTAGATGCTCGCTGTACGCTGAGAGAGTTACGCCTGCCGGCGCATTTATCTCAAATTAAGTACATAGGACTTCACCATGTGCTTTGCAGAATAGATTGGCTGTTTTATGTTGCCAACAGTCGCAGCGTGACGCTACAGCAGCTATGCGTGAATTTTGACCTTCGCATGAGCTCTGCGGGAGGCGAACACATGGCAAAGGTGCTGATATTTTGGCAGTGTTCTGTCTCACACGGCACAGACCGAGGCATGCACACTAACGAGTCAATATTTTGTATGTTCGCGACTTGATA